TTTTCTAGGTAATTTTTACATTTAGGGCAGCAACTAAATTTGGTTTTATAGCAATCCCTTGGGTTTAAATTGGGGGACGATTCTTGATTGCAGGAGAATTCCAAAATCATATTCGCTTTATTGTTCCATGACAAGTGTTTATAAGACTGGGGTTTGTTGTACTTATATTTGGCTATAATCCAGGGGCCTAAAGTTATACTGAGAGGAAGTTGCTCTTTCAGGTATAAATATGTCAAGATTGCTATGAAAATTGTCAAAAGACTCAGGGGAATCAAATTGAAGATTAGTATTCTCAAGAAAATCATGATGAGTAAATTAATGTTCTGGGAATTTTCTTTTACGATTATTGAATAAACCTTCTTTTTGATGTTGTTATCGGTCATCGTGCTCGTTTCCCTGACCGTAAATAATACCACGTTATGAAGATGGATAAATAATGCCAAAGCAAAAACTCCAAGCTTGATATAACGTATGTATTTGGCATTCGAAGTTACACACATGTAAGGCATATTTAAGTAATCTTTAGCAATTTCCAGACAGGCCATTAAGTTAATTAGTAAATACGTGGAGTAAAGGGATGGGTATAGCCAATATCTCCACCTGGCAAAATATTGGACGTAATCATAAGTCGAGACAAAGGTGTAACCACGATAAAAACTAAGCATATCTACGAAAGGGTAGGCAAAGATGATTATCTGGAATATGTTTAAGTACTCCATCCTGAGCCAAGTCAGTAAAATTTCCTTCACCTTGTATTTAGTCAAAGTGTAAATCAAGTAAAGGTTAAAACAAAATAATACCGTGAGGATCACCGGATAAATGGCTATGTAGAATAGTTTTAGGTTCATTTCGATTTCAATTCCATTCATTATTTTAATAATAAAAGCACACCCTGTAGTTAAAGTGCTTTTTAAAAGATTAATTTTTATAAAAATGAGTTATAAACCATTACATCTTGTATATATATAACGTACCACGATAATATAATTATTGATTTTAAAAAAAACATTTAGAAAAATAAATTAATTAAAGCGATAATTTTAGATCATTTATTATATTTTTTTGTAGTAACCAAATTAATATACCCTTTTAATTTTCGTCTATAAGGGGGAGGAAGAGAGATCACGGTAATAGCAGAAATCTTTAAATAATTGATGAGGAAAACAACATTAAATTATCAAATATGGCACTAAAAAAATTTTATTCTGACAAAAAAATGTTAAGATAAGATCTCAATGATCTCAGGCTTCATATGCCCCATCAGTCATCATTCATAAAAAAAAATTGATACCTTTAATATTGAAATACCAAACCGATATATCGATCAATCTACCTTTAGACAACTCCTTTATTGCTGACAGACTTATGTACCATGGTTAGAATCACTCGCTAGTCGTAACCTTGGTAAACTCTTATCAGGCGAATAATTGAGAGTTGTTTATTGATTCACGTCTGGGTTTGGGCATCGTACAGCCATATGCTTGCTTAAATGCATATGACCGGCACGGACTCAATTGTTTATACAGTCAAGGTCGACAGCAGAGCCAAATAGCAATAAATTATGTCATAAATCAAGGTTTAACACCGTGCACATTTAGAACCATCTCTACACACGCACCTTTTCATATCCCTCAATCATCATTATCAATCCGCTAACACAAATAGAAAGAAAAATTAAAAATCATAACAACCTCCTATTTATTCCAACAGTGACTTCCATAAACGTCTATTTATCGTCATTAACTTATAAGTTTTTAAAAAATTTTGGCATTAAAATTCGGCATTTTACAAACGAAGCACAAAAATTTATATATATATATATCAAAAAATTTAAATATAAATTTTTAGAAATAATCAGGGTTCCTTTTTGGGAACACGATTATGTAATTGTATTTTTATTTTAATTGTGTTTTATTTTAATGCTTTAATGGAAAAAAAAAATATAAAAAAAATGAAAAGTTTATATATATGCAGGGTTGGGCACTAATGCGAATATTAGTATTTATTTGAATATTTTATAAAGTATTTAGTATTTGTATTTTAAATACTAAAAGATTAAAAGTATTTTGTATTTATTACGATTTCACGATTTTCAAGCGAATACCAATACAAATACTTTTTATTTATTTTTTACTATAAATTGAATTATGACAAATCTACATTTAATTATTATAATATTAAATACAACCAGTTGGCGAAAAAATTAACAATTCTATTTTACTTTAAAAATGAGTATTACTAAAAGCCAAAATACAATTGATGGTTAAGATAGTTATTGAAGGAAGGAGTTTCTATAGCTATTATGTTTATAAGATATTTTTGTAGGGATCCGATGACAACATCAACATCCTCCAATTGTAATATTACAATTTTGGATGGAAATTATTATCAAAATACCATCAAAAATCAATAATATAGTGAAAGCTAAAGGTTGTTTTGTTAAATGGCTTGATTTGAACCGATTTGTAAAATAGCTAATCCTTATCAGAAAAATATTGCCTAAGCCATAGAATTTCGATAATACATATCCAAATCTTTGTGCCATCTATGAGCAAAATCTTCAGATTTACGTTATATTTTTTTGGATAAAATATTGAGTTTGCTGTTTTTAAAAAACAGTTCAAATCAAGCTAACAATATTGCTAAAGGTAATATCTGCTGAACAAAATAAAACCAAAATCATAAAGGGGTGATTTCATCCTTCAGCAATATATGATATTAATTATATTCGTAATTATTACATAATTTATGCAATATACAGCTGTGTTGCGACGATTAATAAATCAATATTTAACTATTATTGTGGACATTCGTTATTTTTAGAATGTGGGTTAATACTTAATAATGATAATAATATTTAAGTTAAAAATTTTTTTAGTGTTTCCAAAAATAAGCGACTTGCAACAAGTTTAGTCATCTTATTTGGGCAAAGTTTTAGTCAAAGTATTTTTTTGAAAATACTTTGTAGAGGTATTTAGTATTTATATTTGAAATACATATTCTTTAATATTATATTAACTTTATCCTGAGACAGAAAATTACAAAACACAAATACAATCATCTAAACCACCTTGCTGTTCGTATAGTATGTACACGATTAAATAATTCGGGCGTCAAGTCGTAAAATTTCTTCCATAGAATAAATGCTTAAACTAATCAAAAAGGACCCACATTAGATTACTATTTTATCCAAAAATGATATAAATTGAGACCTGTCGTTCTAATTGCATTTCAATCCACGGATACTAAATCCTATTTGACATAATCTTAAAATATTATGTACCTTTTTTAATAGTGTTTTTTTTTGTATTGTTACGAAGAAGTATATATTTTGAAATAGTAAATATTCGAGTAATTTTTAAATATTTCGATTAGATATTAATTTTTTAAACAATTTAACTTTGATAATCACACTTAGATAATCGCTCGACTCAATGTTAAACTGAAGATTTTTTTTAATTGTATCTGAAGTAATGAGTACGATCAAAAGTTAGATATTTTAGATTGGTTTTTAATTAAAATATAATCCTTTTTCATTAATAAACTGTTCAAGCATGTGATTATAAATGGACTAATAGAAATTTTAAAATCAGCTGTTGTGACGGCCATTTTCCTTATTTGGATTTAAAATTCATAACTTATATTATAATAATGATCATCATTTTTCTAATATAAAAAAATATTTGATTACTGCTGCATGACTTCTTTATTTCCCAATTACCAGTATAGATTAGAATCTCGATTAGATATTTATCAGTTTAATTCATAATTGTATTTTTCTTATTTCGGCAAAAGCTTTTAGGACATAATTGAAATATTACTTTTTTGACAGTCCTTTTCAAATGGGAATGTGATTCAATCCACTTATAAAATTAGGATATTTATCTTTACTTTAATTGTTTAAAAATCATTTGATAATTTCCAATGTTATACCTAAATAATGGATATTTTAAAAAAAAATTTAACCTTCTTTTAATTTTTTTTATTCTTAATCTCTAATAACTCGCGGAAAGCGTTTTAAATTAGATACTCCTTCATTTGCTAACTATGCGTACAAAAAAAAGAAATGGCAAATAAAAAGCTCTACTGATCTAAAAAAAATCATAGATCGAGCTTTTGATATTATTATCAAATCACATTTTAACAAGAGTTACCAAGGAAAACTTTTAAAATATTTGATCGGGATCTAGTTAAATCTATTAACAAAAAGGGCTTAGAGGGATCAAAAATATCTCAAATGAATGTAATTCGATTCTATTCAAAAGAGGGCCAAGATACTTGTAATGGGAATTTTTATACCACACAATCCATAAATAAATTGCCCTAAATCATAATAAGCATGAAAAAGAAAACACCCATAACTGTCCTCACCACCCTGAATTTCAATGACGATTTGGGTCTACCCTCTCCTTCCTCCAATGGTATAAGCACTTGTAATAGAAGCGAATTTATAAATATATTTTTATGTAAAACTTTTTTATGTGGTTAAAATAATAAATTGCAGTGGGTAAAAAGTAAAAACTTAATTGAACAATTAAACATTCGCATTTGGGTTTTGATTTATTGATGACCATCGCTGTTAATATGTATGAGACCTAGCCCAGTATTCACAGTTACCGTGAATTCTCGCTAAGTGTGAATGCGAGGTAAGATCGGTGAAAGAACGCTTAGCTTATAAAACCTCTTCAGCCCGTCGAAAAACGGATTTAAAATAGGTAGGATCGGTTCTTTACTCATGGCGAATAAGTGAAAGGAAAGAAACTAATAGCTTATATAGTATTGAATACCTAAAAAAATATTTGATATGTTTATTGCTGTTCTGTTAAAAATTATTTTTTTTAACATCATATTTTCATAATACTTTTCTATAAAGTGTAAATAATGGTTAGAAAAAATGTGAATCTTACATTCAAATGAGTGTTTATAAAAGCAAAACACAATATATGTTTAATAAAATGATTTTTAAAAAAAATTTTGTATCAAAATATATTTTATTATGTTATTTAAAAATTAATTTGTTTTATTTTTCATTGGGAAATATTCATAATATAATATGCTTATAGCAAAATTTCTTTTTATAAAAACGTAGGAAGACTTTGGTGTTTTAATGCAGCGTTTCTTTGTATCTTTTTTTAAATGCTCTTTACATTCCTCGACGAATGTCTACAAATTTTTATTCGAGTTTCATCTTTCTATTTCCCTTAAATTTCAAACCCACATCTTACCATTTTTGGCGGTAGATAGAACGTAATTTTGAATAATTTCGACTAATTCCACTCTATTCATTTCCGTGAATATGGCGCGCAATTTGACGAGGGAATATTGAGAAGGATTCGAATTTTGTAAGATATTGTTATCGTAATTATTGTCAACAGATTCCCATAAGGTTAGAATGGTATCGGTGGGGCTTTGTTTAGTGGCGAAGTAATGAATGTATCTGAGAGATGTAACAAACGAAAGATATATACTATTTTTTTAAATTTTAGTCAGAATAAATTTCACATAAAAATGATTATACCTATTATTATTAGTAAAAGTGAGGCTAGGAATAAAACAGAATTAAGGGAATATTTTAATAACATAGGGGAAAGTAAAAGAGTTCATGGCAATTAAAAATTTAATTTGAGAGCGCTTAAATGTCGGGGGGCTAGCAATGAGATTGAGGAAAGATGTATAAATATGCTTGCAGATATTATAATAATTAATAAATTGAAACAAACAAAAGTAACCTATCAAAATGTAATATCTTGGCCAAAAATCTCCAATCTCTCCCATCTTGTCGTGGTTTATCTATCAATTGACACAATTTACTTTTCAATGATTGTGGAATTCTTAAAAAATGTTTATAAAAAAAATATTGATAAATTGATTTTTTGAATAACTTAAATATTAGCATAAAAAATATATTTAATTTAAGAAATAAAAAATAGCGAGAAGGGAAATAAATTAGGAAACAGATGTCTGCAAAGTTCGACCCATTAAGATTTTTAGTACAAACTACCCCATTATTTAAATGATGTACCGACCCGAAAGGAGTTATAATTATATTTGAATTTATCAATTTGCATTTTTTTGCCATAGAGAAATTCTCTTGGTTTATTAGTAAATGTCTTGATTTTTTAGCATAAGTTTTCAAAATTTGCATGTTAAGGAAGAAAAATGTCCGTTTATTGATGATACAATTGGAATGAACACGTGGTTTGATCATTTTAAAATATTTTTCAATTTCCTTGTTTAGGGTATTAGTAAAGGATTAAAATTTTTTATCTGATGGTTAAAAGGAGACACAAAAATGTCCCAAATATGAAATTCGCCTGACTCCTTAAGGGATTGAAGACAATCCATCTGGTCTCAAACTACCTACTGCTGACAAATCGGTAGATTCGAGAATGATCGGGATCTGAGAAAAATAGCCGTATTAATCAATTGTGTTTTTATATCTGCATTGTGCATTTGTAATTGGATATCATAATTAACTTGTTTAATTTTTTTGTGAATTTACCATTTTATTTATAGATTTAGTATTTTGGTTAGACAGCTCTTGGAATAATTTTAAAAAAAATAGCATATTGTAATTTATTTCCCATTAATCGAAATCAATATAATAGCTGAAAATTCAAAAAAATATATTTCAGCAATTTAATGCCTGGGTCGGCCCATTAAAATTTTAATGACAGACTTTCGAGGACTGGAATTTTTAAAATTTTCGCCCGACCAGCCGGTTTTCGGATGAGTCGGGTTTTGAAGATCTTTAATAGGAAATATAAATGATATTAGTAAGAATTTTTGGAAGAATGGAAAGAAAGTGAAATAAAAATAACATTTACCTAAATATTTGATTATCTACCGGAATGTAGACTGTGTTATTCAGATTTTGATTAGCACACTGATGAACTATCATAGCAGAAGGTTGATGAGATTTATAAATATCGGTCAAGTTGTGTTGAAGCTATTTAAAATAATTTTTATTGTGGATAAAAATATGTAGTCACACACGTTATAATGTAAATAAAAGTGAATTAATTGATATAGTAATTTTAAAATACTAAAGAAATTTAAATAGTGGTAATATATAAAAAAAATCAAAATGGAGAATTTTTTTTTTAACTTACATTTATCTGGGCAGAATTGTATTCTTTATCAATGTTGTGTTCGCTAAGATGCCCGTTCGAATGAATTGGGCAGGTGCGTGATAAAGAATTTTGATTGGCTAAATCGTTGCTAATTTTAAATTGGCCAACCAGAGCGAACGTCGCCAATTGCTCGGTAAGTAAATGCAAGTTGTGCTCGGTTTGATCAAAATGACAATACACGGGACTTTGTATGGTCTCTTGTCCAATGTTTAATACGTTCTTTTAAATAACGAATATTTTTATTATAAAAGCTCTTAAACTTTCCAGAGAAGTTCTTGTTTTGCCAGATATAGTGGGATCAAGACTTAAAAATCTTCTCTGAGCTCTTTTCTATCGAAGATTCGTATCTCCATCTGGGGAAATGATGAGATCATCACATCAAGAATCTTCGACAGAAAATGAGAACTATATGGATAAATTTAAAAATGAACGTCTCTTCCCCTATAAAGAATCTGAGTCATTCATCGAAACAAGGCATATTTTCTCATATAATAAGCGGTTGATCCGAGAAAGTTGATTATATATTCCTCGTTAATACTTTCCTTTCCTTTCTTCCTTACTTTCCTCTTTCTTTATTACTTTCCTCTTTCTTTATTACTTTCTTTTTTTTCTTCCTTTCCTACTCTTTCTTCCTTCCTTCCTTTCTTTACAATTATTGAGCATTTGTACCTTCCATTTAAGAATATGTTTGATGTGTTTATTTCCGGTTGGATCCTCATCCAAGCGATGAATCAGTTCTCCCATCATGATCTTGTAATCCCAAATAGTCGTATCAGAGGGCGGCAACGATTTATAAGGGATCTTTAATACGGCAGGCTTTGTTAGAGCTATTTCAGATGGGCCTCCCATGTAAATCACAGGACTGAGCAGGGTTTGATTAGCTAAAATAAATTTAAAAATATATTATATATAATGGAGGTCGCTTAATGGGTGGAGTTGTGTAGTAATAACTAGACAAGACCTTGAAATTTGGTAAATAAAATTTAATATAAAATTATATCTATTGATTTAGGCCTTTTTTCTAATGACCAAAGAATTCTTTCAAATAAATATGCTCATATTAGAAAAATTAATATAATATATAGGTTCATTAAGGGAAAAAAAGTATTAAATAGTACATTGTAGTTCGGGATCATGTTCACTTTTGCAAGTTGAGAGTATGATCGTTTGATCCGAACTTTGATTAATTGCTCCGGGAGGTATAAATAAGGAAATATCTGTTGAGTTAATATATAAATCATATATATTCAAAAAAAAAAATTAATTATACCAAAAAGAAGAGAAAAAAGTGACAAGAGGGGAATCATGGCAAATGATCACCAGGCTTCCTATTTGGAAGCATTTTTGCCCTTAAAATAATTAACGTGCACCATAGAAGGATAGCTTACGCTCTAAAGCTTAGTAATAATAATTATTTTTATTTTTAAATAGGAATAATAATCACCTCTAATATCTTAAACTCAAGTGTTATAGGTTAATTATTTCCCTAAACTTATGTAAATTGAAATCCTATGAATTTCAAAAAAAATAAATACTCTTAATATTTCTTTAACTGGAACCCAAAAAAACGTTTGTTTTATAGGTGACTAAGATTTACGCTAAAGATGTAATAACATACCAGTATTTTTTAAGTTAAGCATCCCACCGTATGATCCTACACTTGTGATACATATATTGTTAACGTCGCATACATCTGGAATTTTGTGGGGAGAATTATATTCAGCAATTTGAGCCATTTGATTATCATGTTCATACGTATTAACCTGTTTAAAATTTATATATATAACAAAACAATATGATTTAGTTGTTTTCCACAATTTATATTATCATAAAAAAGGGTTTATCTTTTTTTTATTAACTGACATCTCAAGGGTAACTTAGAAAGTCACACTTTGGAAATAATCCGATTATACTATAACTACTATATGAGCTAGAGCTCTGCATCTGATCTGTATGTGCCGTTCCGGCTATACCCGAAATTAAAAAAATATAATTCAAACCCTCCAAATATGTCCAACAGGACAAGTAGATGCTGGGCGCGAAGATAATATACTAAATAAATTGTCATTTACATGATTAGGTGATATATTGGTCGAGGCGTAGGCAAGGTCCTCTTCGTGATTCTCTGATTCGCAACCGTTACAACAACCTTTACATTTACTGTTGTCGTATTTTGAATTTTCTCCGCGATCATCCTTTTCGATTGTAATATCCGCATTTAAATAACCGTGCTCTTTGGCCAGAGTTGCGCGGCAACACGTTTGTGCATTTCTAAACCTGACTTCATTCCCATCATCGATCACTATTGCTTTAGTGGCCATATTGCAAGGAATATTATCTACATTTTGATCCGAATCAAGGAAGTTAGGGTGACTGGGATTGGTTTGGCAGAAATGATTATTGCAATGCTTATCGAGATGGGTTCCCATCCTAGGAGATCTCTTAGGATTGTAAAATTCGCTACTGTGGCTAACGTTTCCACTATCGTTATCGTTTTCCGACTCTTTGCACCCTTTAAGAAAATTTTGTTGCTGCTTTTCGCAATTTTGGAGAGAATCTTTAATGTCGACCTTGATCACCTCAGCCGGCTCAGAATATATATTTATATTATTGTTGTCGACTTTGTCCTTTTGGCTATAATAAGCCTCATTATTATTTTTTTCCCCATGTTGTTGAAGCCACTTCAAATCATCTGTTTCGGTAGTTAAAATATTTTTGAAAACCGTGGCCTGTCTGGCAAGCAAGAATTTTTCGAGCTTGAAGATCTGCTCTCTGGCGAATTTATCCGTAGTTCCATTCGAAATACCAAGGCTGCTCTTATCTGATTGGTTTGATTTGTAAGCCGAATCAGAATCTCGAAGTAAAATCGCTGTAGAAACGTTTTGGCCTTCTCTGGCGAATTTGGAAAGAGGAGTCTTGATAGCAGTGTTAGATGATTGTTCGGTATTTGCATCGTATTCGGCAAATTTTGAATGTTTATCTTTTGGGATGTAGTTGGAAAACTTTTTTAAATCTCCCTCTAAACCCAGGAGTAAATTAGATGCCCCATTCAGGTAGGGACTAAATGTATCTATAATGAGTTTTATTTTATAAATAAATGAGGTTTAATAAATGGTATGGTAATTTAATTAGCTTATTAAACAATTCTTTCGATATATTTATTCATATTTTGTTCATTTTTTATAAATCAAAGAAAGCTGCAAGAATTTTTAGAAGAAAAATAATCATTCCCTTTATAATTAGATAGCTATTTTTTTTAAAAAAACACACATAATTAGCGTAGGAAAAAAATTGATCTTATAAAATAATTATATCTAATAGCAGTAATTTATGGTTTTTAGCATAAGATTATTAATTAAAAGAGTTAAAAACATATGAATACTTATAGATATGGTAGGACAACAATTAGAAAGCAGGATTACTTTTGGTTCAAGCCAATATTTATAATAAAAGTTAAATGGACTAGTGGTGTTATACGGTTCCATTTTTAAAAAGGGCAACCCAATATAGGGTTGTTAAAAAGCCCGATTCAAAACGATTTTAAAAATACCCGATAAATAATTTAGCCAAAATAATATTATGTAGGCCTGGGTATTTTGTTCATAGATGGTAGAAAGATTCAGACTTCTATTCGCCAAATATTAAGGCTTACATAATATTATTTTGGGGTTTTTAACAACCCTAACCCAATATTTTAGCCTAGAAAATATTATGCGAGTTTAAAGATTGGCTCATAGATGACAGAAAGGATTGGGCATCTATTAACGAAATATTAAGCCTTGCCTAATAATTTTGGGCTAAAATATCGTTTTTAAAAATCGAGCCGTTTAACAACACTAAAATGGGCACACAAATTAAAATGGTAATGTTTAAGTCTATTTTTATATAAAATATACCTGACGTCCCATAGTCATAATTGTATCTCCGGTTATTTTGTTTGGCTTGTCTTTTCTTCAGATAAACCGCCAAAAAAATAAGAGCGCATATTATAACGATTCCTAAAACGCTAGCTATGATCGAGTACAATGCAATATTTTTAGAAACCGTCCGTTGGGAAGATTGGGAATTATCGACACCTTTTTTTAAAAAAATTTATAATTCGCATATTCGTTAAATTAAAGCCATTATTGGTTGTGTTTTATTATTATTCTTTCTTTCCTAATTTCCTACTTACTTTCTTTCTTTCTTTCTTTAAAGAAGGTAATTTGACTGATAAAGTATAAAAAATTTGTAGTAGTTACCTCTCGTGTTATACGTATCGTCAACCCCGATATAATTTTGGTTCAGCTTGGTATATCTCATAAAATCTTAATATTTTTTTTTTTAAACGATATTTTTTTTTTAAAAAATTATAACGCACGCACTCGCCGTTACGCATCTTAATTTGAGTTTAATATTTTAATCTTATAGGAAAGAGAAGAGATTTATCACGTGACTTATCAAACATGGTGGATTATTATTCTCAACTCAAGCCTTAACAAAATTTTCCTATAATCTTATAGAGCTTAATTAGATTCCCTTCTTTAACATAAAACATTGATCGATGCCAACAAAATAAGGAGTAAGATGGTGCCAGATAGATATTGGCATAAACAGATGATTTCGTTTTATTAACAAATCGAACATCGATCATTATAAAAGTATCATATCATTTATTTAAAATGTAATTTTACTTTAAACGATTCTTCAAATAACAGAATATCTCATTATACTGACTTGTATTACATATTAAATCATAATATGTCTATATTATTAATTTAAAATTCGTTCACAACATTCCTTGAGGGAATAAAAATCTTTACCTAAAGAATTGGGGTTGTTGATACACAAGTCCTCCGAACAATTTGAAACTTGGGTTTCCGTTCCGAAGCAATTTTTGCCGCCGTTCATTGGCGAGGGGTTGGTGCAAGCCCTTCTCCGATACATTAAACACTCCTCGCTGCATACGGACCATAGGTTCCACTCGGACCAGCCACCGTTTACTAAAAAAAATTTAGTTTAAATAAAGTAAAATATATTTTTTTAAGCATCCTTTATACATATTTTTCCTAAATTATTAATTATTTTCTTTCAATAATCCTATTTTTTCAAAAAAATGATCTCGAAGTTAAAAAACTTTAAAAAAAAGGTTTTTCGAGGAGTTAATGTAAGAGTATTTCGCTCTCTACAAAACATGTGATCATCAATGAGAATATAAAATATCGTATACTCACAATGTTTTATAAACCGCTTAATAAAATATCGGTATCTAACGAAACTAACCATATGGATATGATTTTTGGCCGGGAGCGATCAAGCTCATGATTTAAAAAAAAATGGATATTTTAAGGTTTTAAAACTATCATATTTAAAAAAAATATATATTATAAAAATTTTATGTCGTGCCAGAAAATAAAAGTAATTGTTTCAAAAACACGATTTTAATGAATAACACAATAAAAGACATATTTTAAAAGACAATATAAATTAATATTTATTTTTGTGGTAAAAGAAAAAGGCGCCAGACAGAGCCACTAGTAAAGTTAATTTTTTTTAAAAAAATCACAAAATAATGAATGATACAAGGAAGAATAGTAAGATGAAGTTTTGCCTTTCATTTTTTATATAAGATTTTAATTTAATGTTTTTTTAAAAAATTATGTAAACTTACAAACAAAAAAAAACAAGTCATTACTAATCAAAATTATCATTTGACGAGATGGGTGAGTTTATGTTGTTGTCACCCTTTCAAAAATATTATTCATGATTCAGGAGAGAGAGAAAATATATAATTGTCAACAACAAAAATAAGATGACATTTTGATAAAAATGCTAAAAAAATGAAGTTTAATCTACTTTTGAAATAAATGTGAGATTCTTTATGCGGAAAATTTTAGGGTTAAGAGTTTTTTAGTCTAATATAACATAGAAAATATGGGAATACCTTTTCAAAAAAAACTGGTCAAGGTAAAAGTTATATCTTTTATTACTAGTACGCTCTATTATATTATTTTGAATGGCTTACTGGGACAATATTCCTGACAATTTTCTCTCTGGGTCGAGTATCCCCCGCAATGTTTGCCATTATTGACCGGGGCAGGATCGGTACAAGTTCTGAAACGTTTTCGGTAACCCTTGGAACAACTATCCGAGCAAGAAGGCCATTCGCTCCATTGCGACCATCCTCCATTTACTAGAGGTTATCGTAAATAAGAAAATAATATGTATATAGAAGTATAAAATAAGGGGTAAGATGATCCAGGTTAAAATGGCGAAAAGTTGAAAATTATTACTTATGATTCTATATATCCTATTTATTTTACAATTTTTGTTAAATTGGAGTATTATTTCTGTCCGATATATTATTTTAATCAAATTATCATTGTTTGAAAATATATTTTGCAATCGATAATAATCTATCTCAGGGAAATTTTTTACAAATATAAGGCTAATTAAAGGGTTGGGAGATATGAGTTAGGGTTAAGATATCAAAAATGGACCATTTACATTATAAAAAGGTGTCAAATCTGACAGGTCATGTGATTAAAAATAGTTTCATTTAGCTGGGGAATAATCTTGGCAATCTGCTCGATTAATTTATTTTTATTATCAATTTGTACTTCATCAATTTTCCTGTTTCTTAAGGAGAACTACTAATTATTTCTACACGTTTTAATTAACTTTAAATTTTTCTTATCTATTAATTTATTTTTTTTTGAATCTTGAATAAAAAAAAATCCTTTTTCAAGCTTGTAATTTGCCGGCCTTTTTTTTGCCTTTAATAAAGTTTCAAAAGAAAAGCCAAGGAATATTTCCATAAATATTAAAACAAATAGTTTATTCCTTTTTTCAAAAGGATTTTATTATTTAAAATTAATTAAGATTAATATCTAAGTAATAGCAGTTATAAATTGTAAAAGAAAGTTAATTACATTTTTTAGTTGCAAGTAAGAGTATTATTTTTTTTTAAATATGCCTGGTATGATTTTATAATTCTTATAATGTATGCATAATAAAAATATAACTTATTAAAATTATCAATCAAGTCAGAAATTTAAAAAATTATATATTACTTTTTCTTTCCAATTTATTAAGATTTGATATTGAAGATAAAATTATTTTTAAAAAGCCATATTCAATTCAAATTAATTATATTTTATGGTATAATAATTATAAAAAAAAATGTAGATTTTATAATTAATTTATTCATAATTTTTATATTGGATAAATTATGGGGGTATGGGTATGATGGTGGTAAGATATCAAAAGAAAGCAATTAGAATATAATTTGATATACATTTACATATTGCTTGTTATAAAAGAAAATAGTTAATTACAAAAAAATATACTTATATTATAAATTATAATACACATAGTACAAATGTAATATTATGCATATATTATACATAGTATAGTATTAATTAAAAGTTAGCAACTTACTTTCTATTCTACCGATCCATAATTAATAAAATTCAATTTTCAAAATTTGATTTTTTAAATAATATGGGGCCAGGTGGACTTGAATGATTTATCAATTTTTTTTAGTTAATAAAAATCGAATTGGGTGACCAAAGGAAAGGTAATCCATAAAAATTATTTATTGATTTTAATAAAAATTTGAAATTTTTTTATTTTTTAAATTTAACATAAATTAATTTTTCCATTATTTCCGATTTTTTTTTAAACGTGAAAAAAACATATAAATGAAATAAAACAAGAAAAAAAATAAAAAAATGACGAAAGAAAAACGTTTATAGTTTCGCCCGCTGTAATTTGACATTAAATGTATCCTAGGCAATATATCAAATGTGGGTCGTTTTGCTATTGTTTAAAAAAAACGAAGTAAAAGAATAGAGAATTCTTCTTCTATCTAGGTGGGAGGAAAGAAATTTATATTCATTTAATAAATTAAACATCTATTTGGATATGCCTTGTATTGATTGCATAATTAAAATATATCATGGTATTGATATTTCGCGATTTTATAGTTGCGTAAAAGTTTTTATAGTAATAAATTAGGGAGATGAGAGCGAACAGGATAAAAGTTTGACCTATAGCCGTTTTCACACCTTAAAACGTAGGTGATATAAGGTAATACAATGAAATTGATACATTATTATAATATTAAAATGTATTTTTTATTTAATATAGTGTGGCACGCATATTTTATCAATTCATAATTGGTCCTCCACGAGGAAAGGCGAGGAAAAAAAAATTAATATATTTTATTTAATGTATTTTAATGTCCTAGATTATATAAGTTTTGGATTAAACTAGATATATTTTGCGGAGGTAAAAATAGGTAGTAAAAAAATTAAAACAAATATAAAGATTAATTTCTTGAATCTATTGGCTATTTTATAATTTTGGATAATAAAGTATTACCCCCCCCCCCTCCCCCTGACCATTGTAAAGGTTCACAATCACATAAGATTTTTTTTTAAAAATCTTGTTCTAAATAATTTTGGTAAAAAAGAACAATATTTAATATATTTAAAAAAATATATATAATATTGTCATAAAATGTCATTATATTACAATTATCATGATACTTATAATTATTCACTAAATCTATCAAAAAAAAGACACGCATTACATAATCATAAATAACAATAAAATTAATATCTATATGTTGACTTTTCGTATCTTTTAGAGTTTTTTAAATAAAAAAATCTAAACCTTTCCCATGAATAGTGAATTTAGGTATGAGATAGTGATAATGATATTAGGTAATAAAGAGGATAATCATTTTCAAAGAGCTTTCATAATAATAATATAATCTATTTATTTACTTTATATGGGTTTCGAAACAAAAAAAAATTTTTGATCAAAGAAAAGTATATATATAATGAATGTACTGAGAGTATATTTAATATATCTTCTATTCTAATCGTAATACCATTCAATCCCGTTCTTTGTCATTTTTATCCCCCCCCCCACTCACCTTCTCTCTCATCTTATCATTTTTATGAAAATAACAGAATTATTTTTTAAAAAACCAACACTGCTAAGGTTTATAATAATCTCCTTTTGCCCGAGTCTCTGGCATTAATATAGATTACTCGGATATATTATGTTGCGAATAAAAATGATAAATTCGAATCCAGCAAGGTTCAACTCATTACAAATGAAACGGGGCATATGAACCCTTAGGAAACCCGGACCCATTTCTAAGAACTTTGGGGAAAAAACTCCTTAAAACTTCTACGAGCCCGAACTAGAACTTACTTTTTAAAAGTTTCTAGAAAATTAATTATTTATTGTTATTTTGTTCAAAATTTTTGTACGATTTATTTTCAGATGTTCAGTATTTAAATTTTTTTTTCGTCGCTTTTGTAACAGATATGTTAACGCGAAATGTAGTAGTTTTAAATTGAACGAAGAAAAAAAAAATCAAAAATTTACCGTAAACGTTGAGGGAAGCTGGTTCCGTGGATCTTTGATTAGCCAAATTCTTGGCCACGCAGCTATAATTACCCCTATCCCTTAAGCTGGCCATGCTTATTAGCAAGCTTCCTTCGCTAGAGAGTATCAAGTTGGGGTCCCTTTCAACGTCTAAAGCTACGCCATCTTTGGTCCAGTAAACTATGGGCTTGGGTACCCCGTAGGGTGGCATGCATTGCAGTTCGACTGTCGAATTCATCTCAACAGAAATAGAAACCGGTTGTTTTTCGAAGTATTTTTTGATACCTTAAAGTGTAAGATGAAAATGAAAAAAAAAATTGAAGAACTAGATCTCAAGATTCTTTCGCACATCATTTTAATGTGACCCCTCTTCATTTGTCCTGTCCCCTCATAAAAAAAAAATTAAATTAAAGAGAAAAAAGAGCCGACGACTTTTTGACCTAAAAATAAATGGTAATCTTTGAATATATTTTTTATCTTCATGTATAATATCCTTTTTTATGGCATCATACCAATATCGTCTCACCAACCAATCACAAAATATTTGAGCCCCTCATCGGGGTTATATCCCACTCGATCCGAGAAAAAAAAAGTTAAAAATTTTATCCGACAAATCCGAGTCGAGAATTTTCTTTTCAAAGATCCAAATACAATTTTTATAGAGAAATAGGCTCTAGTTCCGATTCAAATCTAATCGATTTTTTATGAACTAATTTCAAAATCGGAATAATTATTAAGAGCTTAAAGGATAATAAACAATTTTGCTCTGATCTTGAATAGTATGCGTGGTTCTTTATTAACGCAATGGGGTAAAAAAATCTGGGGTGGACAAGACCTTTTTATAATAAAAAAAATTCAACCCGTTTAATAGATAAATCGAAAAAAAAATATTAAAAATTTACATTTAGTAAAACTCAATATAGGTAATGATTGAGATTATACTATAAAAAAAATAAAGGCAAATTTACCATTAGTATGAAATAAATGTATATTTACAATAGTAACTCAATATAGAAAATAATTGAGATCATCAAAAACATACACTACTTATTTACTATCAAAAAATAAAGGCCATACTACACTGTACAATTTAACTTAATATATATGAAATTTATAGATTTATATTACTGAATGAAAATGATTAAATGATAGCAAATGCATTAGCAAAGAAGAATATTTTTATATTTTTTTTAAAAAAAAAAATTCTTTTACAAGGTGCCAATGAGACGGTTAAATAAGGATTTTTTTGACTCCCCTTCCATCCGAGAAAGAAGGAAAATATTATATATTTTTTTAAACTTTTAAAAAATTAAAATAAATCATGAAATTTTGTTGAAACTATTTTGTTTTCTTTAAAGATGAAAATTGAAGATTATTTTAGGAATAGAATTAATTTAATCATAAGCGTTTTAAAAAGAACTCATAAAATATTGCTGCTAGCTAGTGTTCGATTTGACCCGATTTTTCAAAAACGGTTAACTCAATATTTTAGTCAGAAAATTTTCGCTAATAGATACCATCTATTAGCAAAATCTTCAGATTTGTGTTATATTTTTTAAGATAAAAAATCGGCTTAAATCGAGCCGTTTAACAACACTATAGCTAACATATTGTAAGATTACTAAGGAATTTACCTATATATTAAAATAAAAATAGTCTTGTTAAACGGCTAGATTTTAAAAACGGCTAACACAATATTTTTGGCAAAAAAAAACAAAACTTAATCTATTATTAATGAATTTGAGTATATAATATTTTTTATCTAACTGATGGGTATTAGTTTTGCTATGAAGCCCGAAAGATTATAACCAAAATAACATTATGCAGCCTAAAGATTTTGTTCATAGCTGGCAGAAATGCTTGGAATTCTTTTTTTTAAAAAAGGCGGATAGGTTCCAAAACGGTTTAAAATGTCGTTTTCCCTGGAAGTACTTGCAGTTTAAATCTATTCTAGAACTTTCCAGGCATACATATTTATTTATTTTCACTTTTATTATTATTTTTTAATATAAATAAAAAATACAAAATTTTAAGTTTATATTACACGATATTTTTCGTTTTCGAATCATGATCATCATATTACACTTCCTTCAATATCGATGGTAAATGGGGAAATTTATAAAAAATATTTTTTTTATTAAATTTAGGGTTCATTAAAACTTTTATTTTTTAACAAAAAAAAATGGTTAACCAAATAAATATCAAAATAAAAGAAATTTATATTTTTGAATCATTCCCATAGGAATAATACGATTTTTCTTTTCCAGTGATAGATCAAATCTTTTGTAGAAAAAATAAAATGTACATAATTTATAAGAGAAACCAAACCATGCACTTTTACCAAAAATTATTATAAAAATTATAAAATAAAAAATTTCCTCAAAGATATATAACCCAAATATTTTAAAAACGATTATAAATATGGAATAATTAATTCAATATTTTTTTATGATTTTATTAATTTATGATTGATAATAATTAATTTATATTTAGAAGAGATTGAGTAATTGAGATAGAGAGAAAGAGAAAAAAAAAATTTTCTTTTCCTGATAAATAAAATTAATGATAACAATCCGATTAATATTTTAGCCAAAATAATATTATTTGAGCATGGAGTTTTGCTCATAGGTAGCAGAAAGATTTGAACTTCTACAAATTTCGAGAGCTTAAAAAATATCATTTTGGCTAAAATCTCAACACTATTCATAAACAAATAAAATAAGATAGATATTATCAAATATCTAAACTGAACTATAGTCAATTTATAACTATAAAAATTTTTTTTTAAATGTACGCATTTTTAAAAAAAAATATTAATAAGATTACGAAATGCGAAGGCGCCTTCTTCATCGGACTTTTTTACCTTCACTTTTTAAAATATCAAAATATCATCGTAAAAATATTAAATCAAGTTTTCTTATAATATTAAATTTTTTATTTACAATAACTTTTTAATTTTACAATAAAAGAGAGGGAGAGGACAATCATATTATTTTGTAAGAGATTGCTTATATTCGATACTGAGTATTAATTTCTCTTTTTTAAAAAAAAAATATTATTTTACAAAAAAAACGTATTGTTAACAATTTTGAAAAGTTGGCTTTTAATATTTCGCAAAAAAAACAAGAAATCAAAAACACCCCTAACAGTCCCAAACAAAGGCCAGGTAGTCAGTAGAGATAAAATTATAATAAGGTATTTATTTTGGTAATTATATTATCTATTCATCGATAATATATTAAAGAAAAAGTTATAATATTATCTCGTGCCATTATAATAAATTTAAGTAAAGAAACGTGATTTGTTTAGATTTTGAAAATTGGTAGATAGAACAATTTAACGCTGAATAGATTTATTTTTTAAAAATAGGTTCAAGGTTTAAACAAATAACATGGTATAATTTCAATGATTGGATAAGTTTATTCTTGGTGGTCTTTAATATTTTTTACTTTTTACACAACAACAATAATTTCCAAATTTTTATTAAATACATAAGAAATCAAGGGAGGCAAAAGGCCAGACCTACCCTACCCTATACCCTTTCTAGAAAATTAAAGTACGATATATTACAACATGATTTACACATTGTTAATATTTTGTTTTGTACTTACAATTTACATTTTATTTCCCTAAATTTAAACAAAAAAATAGTAAAATATATTTACAAATACAAAAAGAAAAAAAATTATAAGAAATAAAATGAAACCATATTTGAACTTTTGAAAGAAGATTTAGCAAATAACTCTCATAAATTTTATATTTATTATGATTCTTTATATAAAAAAAAAATTATATAATTTTAATGAAGAGATATGGGAGTCAATTTCTCATTAGTCTTGGTTCAGTTCTTATACTGAGTCGGAGGCCCATCAAATCCTCATTTATTTATTTAATTAAGAATTATCAGCCGTAAGCCCTAAATTACAACTTAAACAATGTTCTTAACATCGGTTACTCTGCTTTCAAGGTGGTCTTGTTAAACGACTCGATTTTTACCTCAAGATCTCGTTAATAGATTTTCAATCCTTTCTACCTTCTACAAAGAAAATCTGTAGAACTGAGTAATATTTTTGGGTAAAATATTGAGCTTACTAGTAAAAAATGGAGCCGTTTAATAACAATATTTCAGGGTTATAAAATTTTTATAGGTATAAATGGAAACTAATTTTTCTAACAAATCTTGCCAATAATAATATATACAAAAAAGCCATAATTAGATTATACAGAGAGAGCATTCCATATGGATTATAAAAAATAACCACAAAATTAAATTTTATATATAAATTTTTTATTTATTTACTAGCTACTCTAACAAGCGCTTGTCGGCTGATGGCCTCGCCTCTTTCCAACGTAGAATCCTCGCGATTAGAATCTTCCAGCACATATTCCCCGTTTCTCTTCGAGGAATCTCGATTGTCGCGTGTTTTAATATCCACGTCTCCTAACAAATTATCCGCTTCGTTGATACGATGGATACTTTCGTGCCTACGATTGTTGTTAAAGCCGAAGGCTAAGCAATGACACCTGTAACCCTCGGACCCATAATATTCTTCCACGCTGCCCCGGCCTATTTCGAGCCCAGTTTCTAAGATGGCGTTTCCCGTTATGGGATCCCTACTTTGCCTTATCAGGTGCTGTTGGCCTTTCATAGATTCACCGTTACAAACAAACAGTAGGTCCGAACTATGTTCAGATGAACAGGTCAGTAACGCCGGCTTGTGTTTAACCACGAAGGTGTCCTGGGGTTGCGTAACGAAGTTGGGCAATTTTATAGCTATTAATCGTTTTTAAAAAAAATTACATGATATTAAAATTGTATAACTAAGTAATTAATAAAAGATGATAGTTAAGATTAATCAACCCCGATGCATACCCGGTCCTCAAAAATCTCAAATTATTTGGAGTGGGTACACTTTTTAATGTAGGGGGATCATCTCTCTTATTCTCTGTTTCAAATTCAGGCGAATACATATGTTGCCAGAGAGAAAAAATGACTAATACAGACTATATTAAATTACAAGAACAAGAAATAAGAGGAATAGGAAATAGTTTTACCATCGACCAGTCGAAATGAAAGTTTGGTGATTTAAACTTACTCCTTTTACGACAAATGGGGTAATAATATAATTTGAAAAGTTATTATATGTGGATTTTATTAACTGAAAAACTATCCGTAAAATGCTGAATAGGTATATTTTAATTTTTTTTAAACCTAGGCAGTAGAAAAAAATTATACCCTGACAGGACCTGCAAAATATAAACATGAGTCGGGTTGAAATTTTTTTCAAATCAGGATCCGTCAGTGCAAATGGTACCTTTGCAAGTCTTTGATAATTATTTTAATTTATTTTTTCAACTTTCACTTATTTTGTTATTTAGATGCTAATAATGATAAAATTCTGTTTAAAAAGATTTACATAAAAAGATACCATATTACTTTCAGAAGAGGATAATCATCATCATATTTTCAACAACTTTCTTAAAGATATTCAACGGAAAAAAATATACATATTTAAATATTTTAAACTACAGCAAAGATTTCAATGCAATTATTACAAAGATCATATCATATAAATCTATTTACAAAAATATTAGATTTTTGATGAATCACCGACATAAGGTTTTATTTTCACGAAATAAAATTTAAATCCAAAATTTATCCAAAAAAAATTTTTTTATATATAAAAATGATTTCTTTACATAAAATCCCAACCACTTCTTCTCCCCTAGAAAACAAAATTTTTATTTTTGAATATAATTTAATAAACTAATATTTTTTTTAAAAATATTTTACGTGGGCCCTTTTCTTCTTTGATATTATATCCAATAAAAAAAATTATTATCATGAACCTATTTCTCGGTCAAAATAAAAAATATTACAAAAGAAAAGAAGAATATAAAAAAAAAGTAAAAATTTACATAAATAAATTATAATAAAATATTTAAATATTAAAATGAAATAAAAAAAAATATAATTTGTTTGTTTTAAAAAAGTATTTTTTTTTATTACAAAAAAAGATATTTTTTTGATATTTATCATTTTTAAACATTAAATAAACGTCCAAATAAGTTTGCCCTGGAGTCTGTTTGTTTTTCTAAACAATTTTTATCTGTTTTTTTTAAAGCCGAAACGTAAAAATTGCGCATAATAATTATGATAAATTTTTATTTGAAAAAAAAAACTTTTATGTAGTGGTGGGTTTTTTTAAATAGATTTCTAAATTTTAATGACGGAACTGGAAGACTTAAATTAAGTTAGCGGGAGGCGGGGAGGGGGGAGGTGCAATCCATTCTATTTGGATATGATTTCAAAATATGATTAAATATAATTGAGAAGATAATCGATATTTATTATTACGGTTATAGGTAATAAACAGGCAATCTATTCCATAAGGATAATTAAGGAAAGATAATTGATTTACTAATTTAATTTAAATCTGATTAATTTAATCCTATTATTAAAAAAAATTATCAGTGATTTTTAAACGATGATCATTATCACTTTTTTATATACCAATCCAATTATATATGCACGATAATAAAGTAATTTTAATATAAAATCTATATTGCACATGTCAAATTTTTGGTTTATTTTTTTCAGTAATTATTTTTCTATTTTTTATAAAAACCTTGTTTTGTATCATATTATTGTGGTGAAAAGAAAAATATAATTATTCCCCAAATCAAGATAAAAATATGAAAAATTTAAAGGGGAAAAAAAGGTTTAAATTAAAGACACCTTAAATCGATGCTTTTATTATCTCTAAAATTTACTATAAAGCCACCAGTTGAAAGTTGTCATCGTAAAATTTATCTAACGAAAAGTTCTCCCTTTTGTTTGTTAAATAAGATTAAAGATAAAACTTACCTTTACGTTCATTTTAAAAAAAAAGGATTAAATTTTATAATTTCTTTTTATTATAAATAATCTTTATTTTATAAACTTTGAGTTTAAGGCACTCAATATTGTCCTAATATAAATTATCCGACCCAAAAAAATTGAACTTTGTGAATGTGATTTTTCTTTCATTTTTATAATTAATATTATATAAATAAATTATTTAAATTAATATAATATAAAATAATTTTTTGATCTATTTAAATTAAAATAATTATAATAGGTTTAACTTTTTGAATTTAATTAAAGAATATAATTATTTTATTTCATTATAATAATTACCTTTTAATAATTTTGTGACCGTTGATATATAATAGTTGTGTGAAAATAATAAGAGTTAAAAAAAATTAATAATATATATAAGATATCCGAGTGAAAATAAAAATAATAAAGTTCTTTGTTTTACAATTATATATTTGTATATATAAAAGGTAATCGCATTTTCTTAGTGGACGTTTTTATATTTCATAAAAAATATCGTTTGGTTTATCGAAAAGTCAAAAAAAAATGTGAAGTGAGTTTTATTATCGTAATTAGTAAACAACTATGCTGAATTTAACCTGATATGATAAGATAGTCCATACATATTATATTATTTAATTTTCACAAAAATTGTATCTTCTAAAAATAAATAATTAATTAATAAATAATGTAAAAATAAATGTTAGAAAATTTCTCACCATAAATAATTTATGTGACGGTGTGATAGGTAAGATAAGAAAAATGGTATTTTGTTGAAAGTCAAAAGGTAAATTAGAAGAAGAATAAGTGGTAAATAAAATTGTGAATAAAGTGACCTAATTACATTGTCAAAACTTTAAAATATTGTAAGATTAGGTGGCATGACAAAAATATGGCTTATGGTTTTAAACCTAAGGTTTACCTACTAACATATTTAATTTATTAACTTAATGCATTCTACATTTTCTTTTTAATTTTAATATTATAGTCAGGTTTAAAATTGGCCCGATTATAATTATAACCAAAATAACATTATATAAGCCTAAAAATTTTGCTCATAACTGGAAGAATTGCTTGGATATCTGTTTGCCAAATCTCGATGCTTACATAATATTATTTTAGCTAAAATCTTAACCGAGCCGTTTTGAAAAATAGACCCATATCGGGCATCTTAACAACACTAGTCGGGTGGATCCTCAAGGTTGAGCTATATTCTCATAAAAAAAGAGAAAAATCGGTTAAAGTCGTTAATTATAAAAAATAAATAGTAATTTTAATCCCATAAATATTTATTTATAATTGTATAGTTTAGAGGGGAGCATTCAAATTATTTATGAGTTAAAAAAAAATTGGTTTGATAAAGGGTTTTGAGAATTTAGAGTCAAATTCTTTCTTTTTTTTCTTTCTATAAATAATTTTAATTAATTCTCTTTTTACCTGAATCATAAGTTGAGGATGAATCAATGATTATAAATATCCACGAGAATATGATAAATTTTGAAATATATTTTGAATCCATCATTTTTTATATAATGAATATTTTTCTAACAAATTTATGAATTTAATTCAATTGAGATATTAGGAAAAGAATATTCCAAAATCCATTAATTTCAGAATTTTTAAATATTATAATTTACGGAATTATAATCAAAACTTTGATTTCCTAACTTTATTTTAAAAAATAAAATAAAAAAACGATAAAATAAAATTATTTTTTTTAAAAAAAGTTAATTTCAATAATCATTAACAAGGAAAGAAAAACTATTACAAATTTTTATTTTTCTTATTTTATTGCTTTTATATTTTTTTATAAAATATACATTAACATTTCATTTACTATAAAATGTATTTATTTTTTATATTTATTCCTATTTTAAAATTTTCTAACTTGATTTTATAATGGCGAAAATTATTATAATTTAATAAATAATTATGATGGTTATAATAATAAAGTATCAAATAATAAACTTAACTTTTACTTTTATATATTAAATTAAAAATTACATAATAATAATTGTTTTGAAATAATAATACAATAAATTTAGAAGAAAAAAAAGATTAATATACAAAAAATAAAATATTATATAAATGAAAAATCAAGCAAAAAAATTAATTTTTTTTTTTACCTCTGCCATACATTATCAACTCATTAGTATATAATCATCTATCTATCTTAGATCATCATCGAATTATGGTAATAAAATTTTTAAAATGATGCTAGATAATATATCAAACAAAAAGTCAAAGGCAAAAGAATTTTTTTAAAAAAAATGTTGTATCATATAAAAACAAACAAACACGCCAGCCAGCCGCATAATTTTTTTTTCATAAAAATTGTTTTTTTAAAATTCGCCCAATAATTCGGGTGCACCTAATAAATTAAAAAAACTGCTGATTTTTTATATCGGTCAAGCTCAAGCTGGTAGAATTTTAATGTCAATTATCCCTGTCCGTAAAATTAATATTTTGTTTTTATCATATAATAAAATGAATATGGGGGCATATTGTATTTTGAAATGTTAAATTTTCATAAAAATTTCATTGAAAAGGTATCTACTTGAGTCATACATTAGACCCAATATTTTTTTTAGGTCCTGCATGATCGGATGGATAACCAAAGAATCCGGAAAAAATAAAAATTTTGAATTGAGGAAAAATTACAAACGTCTTTTCAAGATAATAGGGAAAATTATAAACGAGATTAAAGGAAAGCAACAAAAAAGTATTTTTATTGAAAAGAATATTTCTTTTTGAAAATCAAAAAATGATGATTTAAGATTTTTGCGGAAATACGAGCCTGATCAAAGTGCCATGTCTACAACATTGGTGAGGCTACCGTATTTTTTTTTTAAAAAGGCGGATAATCAGAGATTAGGACAAAGACACCGGATACTTCCAATCTCAATCCACTGATT